TCTCTCTCTCTCTCTCTCTCTCTCTCTCTCTCTCTCTCTCTCTCTCTCTCTCTCTCTCTCTCTCTCTCTCTCTCTCTCTCTCTCTTGTGCGCACGCGCGGCTGGAAAAATTCTAAAATAGCCAAATAATATAATCCTCATTTTGTGCTGACGTCATCCTGGATTGGCGAAATCCAAGCCCCTTGGGCTGTGAAACCTTCTTTCTTCTTGTTGCAGGAGCGGAAGCTGTTGCCCGATTTGCAGTTCGAACGAGATGGGTGGACGATGCTCTCCGGAGTGCAATAAAGAGAACCATGGATGAACCGACAACCAGCCCTGCGATTTCTGAGGAGAAGAAGCGGCGCCAAAGCAAGCTACTTGACGCGATCGCAGAAGAACTATCCGCCGTTTCGATTGCCGACGAGAACGGAGATGGAAACAAAAACGGAGCAGCAGACTTTTCCACCTCGGGCGAGTCTGACGCGGCTGCATCGCAGAGCGACGAGATGATGGCGGCGGTGGAGTCTGACGTCGCAACGGTGTCAGAAAGCAAAGCCAATGGGAAGCAATGCGATCAGGAGGGAGAGGATGACGGATCCTCGAGGAGAAAGGACAAGCGACCTGTGACGACATCGGCCTCCAACGAAGAGTCGTCGAGTGCCCAAACCTATGATCCCCGCACATCCAACGGTGTTGTCCACTTGTCTGACATGTCCGGCAATCAGATCGGCTTTCAAGGCGACGTTGCTGGCAATGGCGACGCTGTAAGAGATGCCGATATGCACCCCGCAGCAAGCGTGGCGGCTGCCCTTGAACCCGAACGTGCCAACTCCCTCGGACAGAAGAGGAACGGAATGGTTGGGATCCCAACCATTCCTTCGATCCCGGGGGTTGTCGAAGAGGACATATCGCAATGGTACTCGGCGGGAGTTGGGATCCCAACCGAGTACCATCCGAGTGAGAGCGGGTTGATGAGAGGCCAATTGGAGTGCCAGGTTGTCATCCTCGGGGCAGGCATGGATGCGCGTGCGTGGCGACTGCTTGGACAGGCCACGTCGGCAAACAGGTAATATACGCTTATCACAGCTGACTCAGTGCTGACTCAGTGCTGACTCAGTGCTGAGTTGACGAAGTTACATTGAAGTGGTTAGTGTGCTGTCACAGATGTGTGCCTAGGCTACCAGAGTGGGTGGGGAGTGGGGACCACTTGCCCGGCTGGGCCAAAAAAAAAAAAGGAAAAAGAAAAACAGTTTTTAATTTGAGTTTTTTATTTTAAATTTGGTAAAGAATTTATTTTTTTAAATTGGACACCATTCCATTATATGCCGGAAATGTGCCCCTGAGGCAAAAGTTGTTCAGTTTATTTTTCTGCATAACATAGGTTTGTTTTTCGGATTTTTTGGGCCTTTGCTTTTTTTTTTTCTTTTTTTTTTTTTTGCTGGAACCTTCTTTGGTCCTTGCACGGCCGGGCCGCCTGGGAAAACAAGGTGACCCGGGTGGCCCGGCTGGTAGGTAGCTATTCTCCCCGGCCGCCTGGCCCCTCCCTGGCACTTTTCCATTTGAATGCTGGTATTGTTCATGCTATTTCCAAATCCTTCCCATTCCCCCCGCCCTCCTCCACCCCAACCCACACAGACACCCTTTTCCTGACCCCCTCACTACCAGTCAGCGACTCCCTCCATAGACCGTTGGCAGCCCCCTTTAAACCCCTTTAGCCTCTTTAAAACCAATTTATACCGCTTTAGCCTCTTTAAAACCAATTTATTCCCCCTTCCCCCGCCAACCCATAGACCATTGCCTGTGGAAATGAAAGCTGGATGATACTCCAGGGCATCTCCTTCGTCATAAACGCCCTATTTGGGGGCCAGGCATGCGCAGCCTTACACGGAATATCAGGCAACCCTAGAAAGCAAGGGGGTGCCCATAGCTGTGGTGAAGGATGCCTGCAGAGGAAAGCATTCTGCTGCCTCCATTGCTATTTTTGAGTGTGAGAGAGAATGCTGGCAGTGAGATCTACCATGTGGGAGGGAGTGGGAGGGAGTGATGCCTACCTGCTGTCTTCATGCTCACGCCCTGAGTTGTCGTTGACTTTATTGCTGCTCAAAACCCGCTGCGTTGTTGTTCCCAGGCCTGATGACGTTGGCGCTCGCTTGGAGGAGGAAGTAGAGCTTGAAAGATTTTTTTTTTTTTTTAATTTGGACCATTTCTCGATTTATGCGTGTCATCCTTGCGCAGGGGCCATGCTAATCTTCTCTGTATCGTTCCAATTTTAACGGATGTCCCGAAGGACATAGAGCTTGAAAGATAACTTGGCGACTAGGCTGTTTTTCCGGGCGCCCGGGCACCCAACTTGTGCCCGGATACACTCCCAGGTGGCCGGCCGGGCATGATCCCTGGGCATGGTTCCGGGCAGGCCCAGCGCCGAAATAAAAAAGGAAGAAAAAATCAAAAACTTTTGGGGGGGGCCGGGGGGGGGGGGGGGGGGAGGAAAGTCGTGTACAATTGCAATACAAAGTATTACAAACGACGTTTGGCTGACGGTCACATCAGATGTGGCATACTGCGCAGCCACACGGGCCTGCAGGGCCCGACCAGCGTCCGCAGCCTAAAAGCCTGAAAATAAGGGCTTACAGGCCCTGTGTCGTTTCAGCCTGAAAGCCTGAAAACGAGGGCCTGCAGGCCCTATGACGTTTCAGCCTAAAACAGGGCCGTCCAGGCCCTGAGTCTTTTCAGCCTGAAAAGGAGGGCCACTTTCGGGCCCTCATAAGATCGACCTGCCCTGACATCCAGGCACCAAACCAGGGTTTTAGGAACAGGCTATTTTGGCCTGTTCCCACGACAGCCTCAGCAGGAGCTGCAGCGCCACGCCCTGGCTCGTTTTGGAATTGGCAAGAGCAGCCTCCTGGAATGCCCGCCCTGCAACTGCAGGCAGTCGGAGGCAGTCAGGAGGCAGGCCGAGGTAGTACATAGGGAGTTCCCATGCACTTCACGGGGAGGCAGAAGGCAGGAGTACCGGTAGTCTTGAGGATTCGGCAGCAGCACTCTGGAGGAGCACTGCAGGAGTAGCGTTAGGGCTAGCAGTAGTCTTCAGCGCTGGGCGCTAGTAGCAGTAGTGGTAGTCTTCAGCGCTGAGCGCTGGTAGGAGCAGAGTAGCGTTGGAGAGAGGGAGAGAGATGGCTGGCGGAGGCCAGGGAGACTTACCTGTGGCGCCATAGCCCCAGCTTCATCTTCGAGGTACCTGCATCAAGGCGCCAACTTCACAGGTTAGTATCGGACACACACACACACACACACACAGAGAGAGAGAGAGAGAGAGAGAGAGAGAGAGAGAGAGAGAGAGAGAGAGAGAGNCTTCGAGGTACCTGCATCAAGGCGCCAACTTCACAGGTTAGTATCGGACTGAGAGAGAGAGAGAGAGAGTTCTACTTCTTCCTCTTCTAAGTCCACCATCTCTTCTTCACCCTCTCACTACCTGACTTCTCAGTATCTGTGGACTACGAGAGAGAGAGAGAGAGTTGTGACTTTGGGACTTGACGACATTGGATCCAGACTCAACATTGGGATTCAGACATTTGACGAGGGATTATTTGGGGCCTGTGCCGAAGACTTGGTGTTGACGACATTCCCATCTTCTCCTCTTCTTCGTCTAACCCCCCTCCTCTTCGTCTGTGTATGGTTGGGGACTGGCACATTCTTCCTGTGTGAGCGCCAGACCCCGTCACACCATGAGACGATGATGATGTATGTTTGGGCTGCATTGCGACATTGATTGTTCGGATCATTGGTATCTAAGTCTTCCGCTACGCTATCTTGTACTTTGTGAGAGAGGTCGGCTCTTGTTCTGGTCTGCACCGGTATGGCATGCGACATCAGAACTCCTCACAGAATCAGGGACAACAAAGAAAATAACAGAATCACACTAAGGCACCCCCCTTTAAGCCCCTTTAGCCTCTTTAAAACCAATTTATACCCCCTTCCCTCCCCCCCCCCCCCCCCCCCCCCCCCCCCCCCCCCCAAATAGACGAGACCGGATTTGGGGTCCTCTGGGAGAGCGCAGAAAACCAAAAAAGGGTGACACGCCCTGTTGCTGTTGCTGTCACTGCTGCTGTCGCTGTTGCCGTTGCTGTTGCTGTCACTGTTGCTGTTATTGTTGTTGTTGTTGTTGTTGTTGTTGTCGCTGTCGCTGTCGCTGTCGATGATGATAAAAGATAAACCACCACTACCTCTGACTGTCTGAGCCTCATTTTCCTGCAGTAGATATGTGCTGCCCCCGCCAATTTCAAAACGAACAGGCGCGGCACTCTTCTTCTTCTTTTTGGATGCCCCGCCACCAGCCAATGAGGTTTGAAGAATACTGTGGTAGACAACATCATCGCGAAAAGTTTGCCTGGGAGAGGTAATGGTGGTTGGTTTGAAAACTAAAAGGATTATTGGGGAAGGAAGAAAGAATGAAAGAAACTTGATAATCCAAAGATTGTGGCATAGGGCATTGTGAATACTATGAATAGGATCTCACCGTCTGTTGCTTCATTCACAGGAAGCTGTCGTTTGGACTTGTTGTTTGTGCATTCACAGAACCGACCGGCGTATTGAGTTACTGCGCAAACAACAACTGCTCAAAACGACAATACGCCGGTCGGTTCTGTAGCCAGGTTTGTTGTGTTAATGCACAAACAAACAAGCCCAAACCACAACTACAGCCTGTTGTGTTCTGTTAATGCACGAACAATGAGTCCAAGTGAGCGACCGAGAAAATTAACAAAACCAACTGGTTAGTGTCGTGTCCCATTCAGCGCGGTGGCAAGTCGGGTACTGTCCCTTTTGGCCTTGGTTTATTTTACCATTTTTCTCTTCTTCTTCTTCTTCTTCTTCTTCTTCTTCTTCTTCTTCTTCTTTTAATCTCCACTCGTTCTCCTTGTGGTCTCTCTCTCTCTCTCTCTCTCTCTCTCTCTCTCTCTCTCTCTCTCTCTCTCTCTCTCTCTCTCCTTTTTGCAGCCCAAAGGCCTCTGTCATCTTTGAGGTGGATCGCGCGGACGTGATTAGAGCCAAGGAAGTGATTCTGGCAAAGATTGCAGCAGAGGGTAAGCTCCCAGTGCTGCAATTGGCCGAGCAGCGCGTGGCAGTGGCTGCCGACCTGCAGAGCGACAATTGGTATGCAGCTTTGCGAAGCGCGGGATTTGAAGTCGGGAAGCCTACCGTTTGGTTAATGGAAGGTTTGCTCATGTGCGTCCCTCTGTTCACCCCGTCGAAGTTTTCTTTTTTCTTTTTCTGTTTTCTTGTTTTCTTTTTCTGTTTTCTTTTTTCTTTTTCTGTTTTCTTTTTTCTTTTTCTGTTTTTATTTTATTTTTTTATACTGATTTATGAAACTTTGTTTTTGTCATTTTACTCGTTTCCTTGATGAGATATATGATTCCTAAGGCAGGACCATAAGGCTTGTCTTTTTTATTTTCTCTTCTTTTTTCCCTCTGTACATCAGCGCTTTTCTGTCTCTTTGTCTTTGAGGGTTTTTTGAACTTTTTCTCATGTTTTTTTGGTCCCTCTTTTCACTGTTGATTTTTTGTTTTCATTTTCGGAATTCTTAGCAAGTATTAGATAATAGATATTCGATAATATCATAATACCTGAGTAGCGCGGCGAACGTGTTCGTGCCCCTCCACGTTCGCGCGAACGGCTTGCGAACGTGTTCAGACGAACTTTTTTTTTCCGGAAATAATAATAATAATAATAATAATATTAATAAATTGTTTTTTTTTCCGGTTTTTTATTTTAAACTCACGTTTGGCTAAGAATTTGAACATGACTCCAAGGCAAAAGTTGTTTGTATTGTTGTTTTACATGACATAGTTTTTTCCTAGGAAGATTTTCTGGACCGGCCGGTCACCCGGGCATGCTGCCCGGGGGGGTCTGACACCTGGGATACCCGGGAATGGGTAAAAGAATAGAAAAAAAAAAATGGCAGCGGGAGGTTTTCCGCGCTCTCGGAGACGAGCCCAAATCCAGGCTCTTTTCTTTTTTTGAGTGTTGGCTTTAAAGGGGGGGGCAAGGGGGGTATAAATTATTTTTAAAGGTGCTAAAGGGGTTTAACGGGGGTTGCCCTGGTGTGATTCGGTTATTTTCTTTTTCATCTTCAGTTCCGTGAGGAATTCTTTTTTCTTTTTTTCTTTTTTTTAAGAAGAAGATCAATCTTTATTAATATCAAAGCCGGGAAGCGGGCCCGGCGTCCACCCTCAGCCAAAAGTTGTTTGTATTGCAATTCTATTATTCTACATAACTTATGTATTTTCAGGATTTTTTTTTTTTTGCGCTGGGGCAGCCCGGGACCCTGCCCGGGGGTCATGCCCGGCCGGTCACCCGGGCGTGTTTCCGGGCACAACTTGGGTGCCTGGGCGCCCGGGAAAACGACCTAGTTCGTGTTTGGAGGGTTTTGGACGCTTGTTCGTGTTTGGAGGGTTTTGGACGCTTGTTCGTGTTTGGAGGGTTTTGGACGCTTGTTCGCGTTCGGGCGAACATGTTTGTGTTCGCCTCCGAACGTGAACATGATGCCACACTGGATAATACGATTCATATTTCATTGATGCAATTTTATCTTGTTGTCATCGGAAATTTCAAATTTGGTGATGTGCGTTCCTTCTTTTTTTTTTTTTTTTTTCCGTTAATCAGGGCCCTAATCTACTCGGGGTCCATTTTATTCTGCCTCATGTGTGGTCCTCTTTCCCCTTTGTTTTCCATTTTCATATTTTCATATTTTATGAATTATTAGATTAGAATCATTTGATGGTTATTAGATCTGCTGCATCATCTGCAAGGAACCGGCCAATGGGAACTCCAAAATTATGACAAATGAAAGGCAAATCAATTTATAAACCATTTAAGTTGATCAGTTTAATAATACTATCTTAAAGAAAAAAAAGACGACCGAATTACACACACAAAAAAAAGTTGATCAGCCCAAGAGCACACTAAATAATGACACCAAGTACACCGAACTCAATTGACAATTTTATTTTTTTTTATATAAAAGCCCCCCCCAACACATATACACCCACACAACAACAACAACAGCAACAACGGTAAAGCGCCCCCTCAATTGACTTTTTTTTTATTATATAAAAGCCTCCACCATGCAACAACGGTAAAGCCCCCCCTCAATTGACAATTTTAAATTTTTTATATAAAAGGCTCCACCATCAGTAAAGCCACAATGTAGGAGAAGCGGCTAATGGAAGGCCCAAAATTCGGCAAATTCTGGCGAATTTTTCACCGAAACTCCCAAATCAGTATTTCCCTGAATTTTTACTTTTGAGGCAAACTCTGAAAGCTACTCCGAATAGGGTTTTTTAGTGCTCTTGATTTTTTTTGTTTTGTTTTGTTTTGTTTTGTTTTGTTTTGTTTTTGTTTTGCCTGTTCGTTTTTTTAATGTTTACATTATGACCCTGCGTCGTTTGTTTGCAAAAGTTTCGACAACATTGCTTGTAGTGAGGGGGTGCCGGGGGAGAGGACCTCCTCCCCCTCCAGAGCCTTTTGAAAGACCTGCCCAAGATTTTATGGACCGTAGTCACAGTACCGTCAACGCTTGTGATTTAGCATCCAAATGATGATGCCAATAAAATTTGGGTAAATCGTCATCGCGAAAAAAAAAAAAAGGACGAAGAAGAAAAGTGAAAGAAAACTTAGTGTTGCAGCACCGTGTTTGCACCGCGATTCCGAGGCGAACGCGAACAAGCGCCCAAAACCCTCCGAACGCGAACATTAAAAAAAACAAAAACAAAAAAAAAAAATCAGAGAAATCTGAAAAAAATACATGTTATGTAAAATAACAATACAAGCAACTTTTGCTCTGGAGTCATGTTCAAATTCGTAGCCAATCATCAGTTAAAAATAAAAAACCGAATATGTCACAGCCCCTCGTTTGTTGTCCTCTTCTCTCTCTCTGCCTACGGTTTACCGGGCAGTTCTGTTTGTGACCATATATATATCGTCAAATAGAATATATATATCGTCAAACAGAGCTGCCGACGGTAAACCGTAGGCAGAGAGGGAGGGAAGGGAGAAGAGGACAACAAACGAGGGGCTGTGGCAAACTGTTTCGTCGGAGTTTCAACGACTGACTCATCATCAGGAGGCTGAACTCTCAACAGTCTGCAGAATCCCCTAACTGATTACACTGTAAGTGATAATCCACCTTAACCCCAGCTGTGGTTATATATATTTTTACGAAAAAAAATTATGTTCGCCCAAACATGTTTGCGAGCTGTTCGCACGAACGTGCGAACTCGTTCGCGCGAAAGTGAAGGGGCGCGAACACTTTCGCCGTGCTATGTTCCCACTGAGAAAAGCACACCCTTATCAGTACTCGGAAGGAAAAATACTCGTGGAATTAAGAAAGTTAAAGAAACGTTCTTCCTCGTGGGAAAAAAAAAAAAAAAAAAAAGAAGTCCCTCTTTTACGTTGACTTTTTCGCACTGCATTGAGAAAAAGCAGAGACTTTTCTCTGCATTGAGTTTTTCCGTCTGCATTGACTTTTCCCCCTGCATTGAGTTCCCCCCCCTCCGTCGACTTTTTCTCCTGCGTTGACTTTTCCCCCTGCATTGGCTCTTGTGTTGACTTTTTCCCTGTTTTTCTCTTGTTAATTTGGATTGCAGGTATTTGAAAGAAGATAGTGTTCTTGTGATGATGAACTTAATCACGATGGCATCTTCGCCGGGGAGCTCGATAGTTACAACTGGGGTGAGTCTTTTTTTTGGGGGGGGGTTGGGTGGTAGGGGAGCCGGTGGGAAGGGGGGGGGGGGGGGGGGAGCTAAAGAGCTAGAAAGTCGAAACATTTAAAAGGGTGTAACGCTTTTTTCTTTTTTTTTTTTTCCCTCAATCTTCGATTTTATAATGGAACTCCGAAGTGACGGTCAGCTCTTACGTTGTTTTCTGTATTATAAAAGAAAAAACACTTGTTTGCATAATACTATAATAATGATAACCATGCTGCAATTCTTGTATTCCGCAGATTTCCACACAACATTTCGTTTTTCCAGGGTTTTTTTTTTTTTTTTTGTAATTTGATTTTGCACCTGGTCAAGATGTCGCTGCATGGTTCAGAGTCTTCAGACTCTTCAGAGTCTTCAGACAACTCGCAAAAGCCGAAATCTGTAAAAGTTTCTAAGTGTGTATATGGTTATGTAAAAAATCATTTAAAAATGTCCACACTGCCTCACAGGCCTTAACTAAAGTTGTGTGCAGTTCTTCTTACCAGCGGGCCTACCTCAGTTGGTACACCTGAGGTCCTGAGTTCGAATCCAGATGGAACTAGATGGAACTAGATGGAACCAGATGGAACTAGATGGAACTAGATGTCCACACTGCCTCACAGGCCTTAACTGTTGAAATGCAGACCTGAGGTCCCGAGTTTGAATCCAGATGGAACTAGATGATGGAAACACTCTGAATTATCTGGGCCTGTGCAGGTCCACGATGAAATCCCAAGGCCGTCACGGTGTCACCTCCTCTTTTTTTCTTAAAAAAAGAAAAGAACATCGTTGCTTGCAGTGCTTGACGGAAGTTGGTGCTGGTTTTTTTTTTTTTTTTTTTTTTTTTTTTTTTTTTTTTTTTTTTTTTTTTTTTTTTTTTTTTTTTTTTTTTTTTTTTTTTCAATTTGGTGCAAATTGTACTGCAATAATACAATTAGAGTCTACTCACACTAGGCCCTCAAAATCACAAAATCGCAAAATGAGCGGCCAGATCGAGTCTCATTTTGCGATTTTGCGATTTTGAGGGCCTGCCAGTAGTGTGAGTATGCACTTACAAAACATTTGCAGTTTCTGCCTGATGACTGCCACCGACTTTTCGAGTTTTTAAAACTTTTTTTCTTTTCTTTTCATTTTTTCTTTATTAGCATAATAATAATGAGTATGAAATTGTTAATCAGTCACGCCTTTTTTTTTTGTCTTTTTCCTCTTTTTTTTTTTGGGTTTCCTGGTTCTGGCGCAGGTGTCCTGGGAAGCTGTGAAGAAAGGCAAGGCATCCTCTCACGGCTTGATGAGGGAGTGGAAATGGGGCTGCGATAACCCCGAAGCGTTTTTTTCAAGTCTCGGGTGGAGGATCGTTGATGCCAGTGATGTAAGTGTCATGAAAAAAAAAAAAGGAAAAAAAAAAGAAGAAGTGTTGTGATCCGAAAAACCCAAAAGAAGAAGAAGAAGAAGGAGAAAGAAAGAAAGGGGGAAAAAGAAATAAGTGAAGGGAAAAAAAAAAAAGAGAAAAGAAAAGGAAAACATCCATTCGATTCGGCACGGCCTCTGCGGCGCGCTTAGGGGTTCACCAATTGAGATAATTGGCTTGCCCCACCCCCTTAGTTGGTCTTGGTAGGGGCTTTGCTTTCGTGACTTCGTCCCTTCCATCCCGGGCTACCTTCTTCTTCCCCCGAATACAATGTACGGTCATTATCGCTGTATTTGGGGTATCTTTCAGTCTAAATACAGCTGTAATGGCCGTACGTTGTATTGGGGGGAAGAAGGTAGGGGCTAGGCTCAGTCCTGAGGGGATATAGGCTCTGCCCATGCAAGTAGATTCACCCCTCCCCTAAAGAGCTTGGGTAGGTAGGTAGCGCGAGGCCTGTTGCGAGAAGAATATCAGCTGTCCCCGGTATATGAGGAGAAGACAGCTTTCTTTGGGAAAGGGGAAAAAAAAAAAAAAAAAAAAGGAAAAGATTCAAGAGAAGGGAAAAGAAAAGGTCACTATTGCTACTTTGTGCACAGAGTTGTTTTCACATTGCAAGATCACAAGGCACGAGGAGGGGTATCTGGGGGAGGTGAGTGAAATCAGGGCATACCTACAATGAATTGGGGGACTGTCATGGATATGTATCTTACTGGAATGTACGTTCAGATTCGGTCACTCTATGCCATAGAGCGTGCAGGAATCGAGAAGGGTAGTTTCGAAAGTTGCCCTCCCAGTAACAAGGATATATGTCAAGGACAAAGGAAACCCTGCTAGGTTAAATGGTTGAAGACAACTTAAAAGTCAAATTGGAATTATTGAACCTCTCCTCAGGGCCCGCCCAGGACCTGTAGGCTTATGGGGCGTTGCGCATACCGGTACCTGTAGGCTTAGGGGGGGGTGGGCAGACCTACCCTGCAGGGGACATAAGGTAATGGTGGTTTTAACCAAGGGTTTAACCAAGGGCTTAACCAAGGGCTTTAACTGGGGTGTAAGTGGGATTTCACTGGGGTTTAACTGGGGTGTACGTGGGATTTCACTGGGGTTTAACTGGGGTGTAAGTGGGATTTCACTGGGGTTTAACTGGGTGGTTCAGTAGGCGAAATCAACCCATGTCCCCCTTGCCTGTGTAGATCAGGATTCAGGGCAGTCATGGATAGGTGCACAAGGCAGTGCTGGTTTAACTGGGGTTGAACCAAGATTGAACTGCCGTTTAACTGGGGTTTAACTGGGGTTTAACTGGGTGCCTCAGTAGGCGAAATCAACCCATGGCCCTCGCCTGTGTATATCAGGGCATTCGTGGAAAGGCACACAAGGTAGTGCTGCTTTATCTGGGGTTCAATCAGGGTTGAACTCTGGTTTTAACTGGGGTTTGACTGCGATTTCACTGGGGTTTAACTGGGTCCGTCAGTAGCCGAAATTAACCCATGTCCTTCGCCTGTGTATATCAGGGCAATCGTGCACAGGCACACAAGGTAGTGCTGCTTTAACTTGGGTTGATCCAGGGTTGAACTGGGGTTGAACTGGGGTTGAACTGGGGTTGAACTGGGGTTTAACTGGGGTTTAACTGGGTGCTTGAAAATAGGCAAAACCAACCCAGGTTCGCCCCCTGAGTATACTGGGGCAATTCTGGAAAAGCACACATGACAGTCTGCTGGGGGGCCACTGAATCTGTTCAATGTGGGGTGATTTTTTTTTTTTTCACCCTTTTTGGGATATGTTGCTTGGCGTTTGCATTGGAGTCGTTTTGACGTCTTTTCAATTTTTTCTTTTTCTTATGTATCTTTTCAGCACAGCAAAATGGGTGGGGGGGGGGGGGAGGGGGGAGTGTATTAAAACTGTGAAAAGGGGTTTTCATCTAGGCTGGTCCCCGGGCCGCCCGGCGACCTGGTCGTCGCCCGGGCGGGGGGCCGGGCTGCCTGGCCGGTTGTCTCGCCCAGCCGACCACCGGGCGACCCCAGCGCATTTCAGAAGAGAGCAAGGGGTTCCTTTTTTTTTTGGCGCTGGGGTCCTTTTTGCCCCCATACGAGGCCGTCCAGACAAATGGGAACAACAAAAGCGGGTCCGGTAGGCCCAATTTCACCGATTTGAAATCGGGCGGGCCCAATCTGGATTGTCGATCTCAAAAATCCACAGCCCAGATGGCCACGATTTGAAATGGGTGAGGGTGGGAACTACCTGCCCCCGTTCCCTCCCCCATACTAACGCTGTACCCCCAAAGTCTCCCCGTTCCCTGCCCCACACGTCGTTTCCCTCCTCCGGAAGGCTGAAGCCATTCGCCCACGGCAACTTCGACCAACCCCGCCAACGCCCGCCAGCGCCCGCCATCACGCGTGTGACCCCACAGTCGCCCGCCAACACCCGCCATTGCAGCTCCCCGCCATCGACAAGGTGAGGGACTTAGTTGGGAGGGGGGGGGGGGGGGGGAGAGAGAGCAAGTTGACTTGCTCTTGTTCTTCTTCTTCTTGGCCACCGTCTCGTGCTTCCCTGCCCGCCATCTTTCACCACCCTTCTTCTTCTTCTTCTTCTTCTTCTTCTTCTTCTTCTTCTTCTTCTTCTTCGCTGCTGCTTCCCCTCTTCTTCTTCGTCGTCTGCTTCTTCCTGTTCTTCCTCTTCTTCTTCTTCTTGTTCGATCACCACCCACAACCCCCCCCTGAACACCCTGAACCAACCCCCCCCAACCCTGGCCCCAGGCAGCTCCCCCCCCCGAAGTTTACTTTTTTATTGCAGATCCGGGGTCCTCTGGGCTAGCGCAGCAAAACACCGCCTTCAATTAAAAAAAAA